AGTGAAAGCTTGTCTTGCTTTTCCCATTCCTGCTTTGATATCCTCGTCAGTTCCGCCTGTAGTTGGAACGATGCTTCCCAGGTAGGTAAAAGAGGTTGATTGTTTCAGGTTCCTCCCATTTATGCTGATTGTTGTCTGTTGTTGTTGTTGCTGTTGGTGGTGTTGCCCAGGAATTTTCATCACCTCCGTTTTATCTATGTTCATCTGAAGTCCTATCTTTGATGCTTCTTCTGCTAACTTGTTACTTTTCACTTGCATATCTTCCAGTTTGTGGGAAATCAGACATATATCATCGGCGAAGTCCAGATCCTCCAAGTATTTCGTAAGGGTCCATTTTATGCCTGTTTCCTCATTCCCCACTGTCTGTCGCACTATCCAATCTACTGCGATCAGGAAAATCATTGGCGATAGTAGGCAGCCTTGTCTTACTCCCGTCTTCACTTCGAAGGATTCCGTAAGTTTCCCATTGTGGATTACTTGGCATGTAGCATTGTCGTACAGCTGTTGGATGAGATGTACAGTTGTCGGTGGCACTCCGTAGTAGCGAAGTAGTTGCCAAATCACCTCTCGATCGACGCTGTCAAAGACCTTTTCAAAGTCGATGAAGTTGAGATAGAGAGGTGACTGCCACTCCAAGCTTTGTTCAATGATGATCCGTAATGTGGCGATCTGATCAATGCATGACTTGTTTCTCCTGAATCCAGCCTGTTCCGATCGAAGTTTATCATTCAGGGCTTGTTTGATTCTCTCCAGGATGATTTGGCTTAGTGTTTTGCTTGGGATGGACAGGAGCATAATTCCGCGCCAGTTCTTGCATTGACTAAGGTCTCATTTCTTTGGTAGTTTGAATAAGTGTCCTTTCTTCCAATCCTCGGGTACTCCGCCTTCTTTCCACACCTTCTCCAGTAGTGGCGTCATCAAGTCCGCTGTTGTCTCTGGGTCCGTTTTCAAATCTTCTGCTGGGATTCCATCTGGTCCTGCTGCTTTTCCAGCTTTTAGCATCTTGATTACCTTCAGGACTTCTGATTTCGTCGGGGGGTTGGTGTTCACTGGTAGCTCTGTCTCCGTTGTTGGTATTGCTGGGCGCGTTGTAGGTGGTGGTCGATTTGGGAGTCTTTTGAAGTGTTCAGCCCAGTGTTTCCTTTGCTCCACTTCTTTGTTGAGTGACTTTCCATTGTCATCCTTCACCGGCCTAATTTGTGTCAAACGTTTGCCCGATAGGTACCTAGTAGTTTCGTAGAGTGTTACGAGGTCTCCTTTGCCTGCAGCTTGTTCTGCCTCACTTGCCATGGTTTCATAGTACTTTCTTTTGTCTTCTCTGGCACTCTTCTTTACTCTTATGTCGTAGATGTGGACAAATTCCTTCGATTAATTTTGTTTTAATTTTTAATTTTATTTATATTTTGAGTAAATCAGATGCAATATTGTGACAAATACTGAGAATTCTATTCTGTATTATAAGTACTGTTTTTGGAATAAAGTAAATTATTATTATAATAACAGTTCTAATGACATATCTTTGGGAAAGAGTAACTCTTCGCTGAAGGTCTCTTCTTTTATATGGTGATTTATCTCTTCACATATAAAATGCTAAAAATCTTATGCACTGCATTCTTACAACAGTGATTCATGCGTCGGTAGCACAGCGGTTAGGACACTCGCCGACAATGCACATGGTCCGGAGTTCAATTCCCACCCGACGCACACCTGATATCTACGGTTGGCCTGAAAAATTTGGGCTACCGATATCACATGCTGAGAATTCGATACTTGTACCAAGAATACGGTGTGGAATCCAGCTATAATCAAAAAAAGTGAATAAAACACCAGCGTACAATTAAATGTCGGTTTTTGATTCACATAAACTGCTGTATACTTCACTGACTTGGTAAAATAAATCAAAAAGACAAACTTTTAAGTGCTGAATTCAGTAGTATGCAGTAATTTATTATAAATAAATGTGTGATGAATGTCTATCTACACGCAGTGGTAATTTATTTGCATTTCTCTGTCTGAAACAAAATTTCTCACTACATGAACAAGTGGAACTCCACTCACACTGCTACGGATGATTATTAAACAATAAAGCCGGTATTTCGGATCTCAACTGTTACACAGAGATATTTAAAATGTGTCATTTCACCAAAAAATCGTTGAAAATCATCAATAATATCCTGCGTTTAACAAGTTTGTCTACAGCATTTGTTTTGGTTCTCACTAGAATTTCGCAAAGTATGTTATTATTGATGCAAATGAAGCCAAAGGATAACACTGGTATCGACTGATGCTGATTCGATGACATACCTAACATATTCAGAGAACATACAAACAAAATGTGGATCCAAGACACTCCGCAGATTGCCATCAACGATTCAATACCATCTGGAAGTTTATCTTGATGAAAGGCTACGAGTTAGCCTCGTAATCAGAAGGCCCTGGGTTGAAACCCTTGTTTGCACATACTGATGAGGAGTCTCAAACTAGGATGAAAAAGCTGTTCAGTACTCCCAGGTTTTCCAGTGGTTCTCTAACTGATAATAGCTGGTGATCTATGCTGTAACCAATCGAATCCCTGCAAACCAACAGTTGGAAACAAGAATCTTTGTCTCTACTGGATAAAACACTACATCCACCTTTTTGCAGATACCTCGGTATAGGTGATCGGTGTATGCAAGGGATACTCAAATTCCATCTAAGCATGATTTATTCGAAATTGCTCTTTTAGTGTACCACTGTTCTTTGTAGGTTTCCAGGCCATAGGTGTTCCGAACTTCCTGGAATAATTTGAGCACTGAGTCAGACTGATTCATTATAAATTATTTAAATTAATCCCAGCGTGTTAAGAAAATCAAAACAAGATTTTTCTGAACGTTTCGCTGTGTAAGCCACAGCTTCTTCAGCACATTTATTCGGATTTTTATTAATTATCAAAATATATAGTCAAAAATTTTTACAAAAATTGAAGTCAATTTATTAGGTCATTTGTCCATGGACATTTTTACCAATAGAAATATGTAAGCAGTCATCACATATATTTGTCATGACTAATGTCAAATTGTTGTTGTGTTCACTCTTCTATAGTTGATTTGTATAGATTAGTTTTGTATGAGTGTGTGTTTGTGTATGTATGTTATTTGTCATGTGGAAATGTTATGTATGTGAATATGAGGACCTTGTAGACTACGAGCGAATCTAACTAGTGCGCTGGCTAATCTGTCTTAATCGCACGTCAACAACAACAACAATAATACCGCCGGGCACGCAAGACAAATAAAAGAGAAGACTGGACGTTGATATGAGAGCTTTTACTGTCTCAAACAACAGTCGAAAATGTTAAACAACAACTCCGTATTTATACAATTAGAAAAATCAATGTCACATTTTAAAAATATTAACGACCTTGGGGAATTCAGTAATTTAAATCAATAATCACGCAGATGCGTGAAATCAATGATTATGCTAATGTGTGAAATAAGTAATGAATATTAATTTTTTTTTTGCGTATATATTACCTCCCCCTTTTAAAAGAATCTCGCAAACAGTTTAGTATCTTTTTTCCTTGGGGTCGATTTGGAAATGAACTGTTTGTGTTCGTTTGCGCTGGGATCGTCGGCTGGGTAGCATCTTTTGTTTTGCTTCTGGTTTGACTGGTGGTATTTTGAAAGTTTCCAGTAGTAATTCCAGTGGCAATTTAGGTTCTTGGGATGTAGTATATCGACGTCGTATCTGATTTTTATGTCTAATCCACCATTCATCCCCAACTTTAACCTTGTACATTAGAGTTCCATGTCGACATTCTATCAAGCCTTCGGCCTATTTTCTGTTCCTCGGTCGATAATCGCGCACATAGACGGCATCACCCTTGCGGTAATACTTCAGACTATTTCTTCGTTGATGTAACGAAGATGGTAACATGGAGTGGTGATGAGTTCGTAGCATTCGACCCATTAGAAGTTCTGCAGGGCTTTTCTTCTGTTCTGCCAGTGGTGTAGTTCGGTATACAAAAAGAAAGTTTTGTATTGCTTCCGGTTTCGCCCCTCCCCCTGCTTTCAACAACGCTCGTTTGAAAGTGTCGACAAATCTTTCTGCCTGACCGTTGGATTGCGGGTGATAAGGTGGCGTCCGCACGTGTTGTATACCGTTTCTCTTGCAAAATTCCTGGAACACTTGTGAGGTGAACTGACTGCCATTGTCAGACACGATGATTTCTGGTATACCGTGACATGCGAAGATCTTTTCCAGGACTGATACTGTTCTGCTGCTAGACGGTGGTGTCACTTGTACTACCTCCGGCCACTTTGAGTAAGAGTCCACGAGAACCAAGTAGTATATACCTCCTATCGGCCCAGCAAAATCCACATGTAGGCGGGACCATGGTTTTGACGTGGGCCATGCTCTCGGTGGCGGATCTTTGGCTGCCATGACCGACATCACTTTCAGTTTTTGAGCAGAGCTTCTCTTACTGGAGCTAACAATTGCTACTTTGTTGCTACCAGACATCGAAGCACTTTTGGCGCAGCCATACTCACTGTGACGATTCGAAGTTGGTGTTTCATTAATCACGTCATTCTTTCTAATGGACTTAGGTTTAATATATCTGTCTCTGATTTCTGGCTTTCTTGTTGAGGGTTCAATACTTTCTATCTTATGGCATACACTGCTTAACGGAATCTCTGACAGGTGCAGCTTCTCAAACCAGTCTAAACCCAAGAGGTCAAGGTTTGAATTATTGATGTAGCATGTGCCGACGAAATGACTATCGCGAAAACTAACGCTGCATTTAATTTCTCCATTCAATCGAAGTCTTCCGCCACATGCACTAATTGCTATTTGATTTGTCTTCTCTATGGTAGGGCATCCCAACTTCTGCCATAATTTCTTTGATATTATTGTAATATCGGATGCTGTGTCGATTTGTAGGCGTGCCGGCCGTGTATTAATCGTCAGATTGATATATTTGCGAGGTGCTGGAGTACAAATATGATATGTGGCAGTAACACCCAAAGACTTAGGCTTGTTGCGCCGTTTGGGTCGACTACGAGATCTGGGTCGGTTGTTGCGTTTGCAGTAGCCATCTTTGTGACCAACAGTATGGCATCGACGGCATTTATGCTGTTTGAATGGGCACAAGTTTGCAAAATGCCAGGAGCCACAGTGCCAGCAGGCTGATGGTGGTTTATGCTGAGGATGACGCGGTGCGGTTGATGTCGACGGTACTGAATGCACCGCATGCACTTCTGCTGCATTTTGGCTGCCAGACTGCACCAAGGCGGTATCGTTATGAATGTTGATTAAACGCTGATATTCTTCACCGACGTCTTTCAAAGTCATTCGTGGATCTTGTTCCAGACGATTTAATAGACGTGTGCGTATATCAGCAAATTTGGGAGACTGCAAACCACAGATGAAAATCAATACCTTGAACTGGTCTTCTGAGAGCGATTTCAATTTAAAACGTTCACACGTGCGATTGACTATACCCAACTGAGTATGGATATCATCATTTTCGTTCAGAGATAGTTTCATGCAATGATATCGAATGTTGAATAAAGATCTCTGATCACCGAACTGATGACGAAGGGTATGGACAGTTTCATCGAATGATCTTTCGCTGGGCTTCTGTGGGAGAATTAAGTTGCAATATTTATCCAGCTCATCTGATCCCAATTTACGAAGTAGAAGCCGTACTTTCCAGGCATCATCTTTATCCGCAAAGTCTACTCGAAATAGGTCTTCATATCTGCGAAACCAAGTGTCAAAAGTGACGTTCGCATCTGGATCATAAACAAATTCTGAGATGCTGCTACCAATGCTGTCGTTGGCTGTAGATGAATCGGCAGAGCGTGATATCTGTAGACCAGCAAGCATTTCCATCAATTTTAGCTGCTGTTCCATTAGTTTCTCTAAACGCAGTGGGTCCATCTTCAGCAAACCCGTCGCCAAATTTGTTATGTATGTGAATATGAGGACCTTGTAGACTACGAGCGAATCTAACTAGTGCGCTGGCTAATCTGTCTTAATCGCACGTCAACAACAACAACAATAATACCGCCGGGCACGCAAGACAAATAAAAGAGAAGACTGGACGTTGATATGAGAGCTTTTACTGTCTCAAACAACAGTCGAAAATGTTAAACAACAACTCCGTATTTATACAATTAGAAAAATCAATGTCACATTTTAAAAATATTAACGACCTTGGGGAATTCAGTAATTTAAATCAATAATCACGCAGATGCGTGAAATCAATGATTATGCTAATGTGTGAAATAAATAATGAATATTAATGCGTATATATTAGGAAATTACGTGAATTCATATGTGATAAACAAGATACTACATGTTTTAAAAGGTCATGTAGGCTCATAGAGTGTTTATTGTTTTTTCATCTGTCTTTCTTCATAAGAGTTTGCCGTATAGGTGATAAGTCTATCCCTTCTCTCCTATTTACTGCATTCGATGTGGTTAAAATGTGCAAGGCTTCAGAGATCCACCTTTCTTTATGTGAGCGAAATCCTCTTCCAAGAATTTCAACATTGTCGAAATCAATCTTATGTCCACTGTCTATAGCATGCATTGCTGTAGCTGATCTTTTTTCTAGACTTTTTAATTCTACTTCATTTCTAGGTGGACGTTTCGTGCATAGTCTCTGTTCATTCACTCTGACTTTAAACTGTCTACTGCTCTCCTCTATATAGCAAGCTTCACATTCTGAACACTTTATCCTATAAACACAATTACTTTGTGACATTTTGGGAACCATATCTTTGACAATCGGCAAAGCTTTCTCTATATAGAAGTCTTGAAATAGACTTTAATATTATATGAAGCAAATAGTCTTTGAAGTTGTTCAGCTGTGTCCCTTCGATATGGAATGGCTATCGTGGATAGCCAGGATTTTTCAATTTTCTGTTTTTCCTTATTGATAATATTATCTAGTAGCTTTTCAGGATAACCATTTCCAATCAAAATCTGTTTTATGTTGGATATTTTCTATAGTTTGATTTGTAAGGATTAGTTATGTTTTACGAGTTGATCACGGACTGATATCAGTTAGAGAACCATTGAAAACCAGGGAGTAATGGACAGCTGCTGTTTCATCCGATGATTCCCAAACTAGGATGAAACAGCAGCTGTCCAGTACTCCCTGGTTTTCAATGGTTCTCTAACTGATATCAGTCCGTGATCAACTCGTGAAACATATGTTGGATATCTCGTTCTCCATATCGTCATTATCTGTTATAATGTTTCTAGCTCTGTTAACGAGATTTAAAGATAATGAAACTTTCATTCCTAATGGATGATCTCATTGGAAATTTAAATACTTATTGGAATGTGTCGGCTTTCTGTATATGGTAAACTTTAGTTTCTCGTCAGTTTGTCTTTTTACAAGACAATCAAGAAAGTTTGCAGTTCCCTCAGCCGATTCTATTTCATTAGTAAACTCAATATATTCTGAGATTAAGTTAATTTCCGTTAGAAAGTTTTATTTTTCAGCTTTCTTTATGATGATAAATGTGTCATCTACATATCTGTACCATATTCTAGGATGACAACTAAAACTTGTCAATGCTTTCTTTTCCAATGCTTTCATATATAAGTTTGCTACAATTGGAGATGCTGGTGAACCCATTGCAACTCCATTTGTTTGACAGTATAGTTTGTCTTTAAAGGTAAAATATGTAGATTCCAAACAAAGTTTTAAGCATTTTATAACTTCATCTATTGATAATAAAGATTTAGTTAATATTTCTTGGTTGTTTTCAAGTTCATATTTCATAATATCGAGTGAATCACAAATAGGAATACTATTAAATAAAGAAACCACACGCTGGGATTAATTTAAATAATTTATAATGTATCACTGTTCTTGTTGAGCAACCGAAACAAATGGACTTATGGTTGTTCTAACGCATAAGTGATTGAGGTACATTTTGTATTTGTAAAACGTGATATAATTTCTACAGACTGATCTAAGATAACTTCAGGTTCAAGGATAGGAAGTAGTATAGGCTAGTTTAACGCTGCACAGTTTGAGAATTTGCAATACCTTTAAGTGAATAGATCAGGGTTAAATCGCAATAACTGCAAATGAAGCCCGTTTAGCATCTGCAAGTTACCAGACTTTATGTTCACTGGTGTACACAATACTCTGTTCAGCTGAAGCAATTAAAGACAGAGCGATTATTCCCACCAAATTCCATGTACAGTTTTGTGCTATCAGAACGAATAAAACTACATTGTGTGGGTAATTTTTTCATATTTCTGTAGTGTTTGTGTTCTACAGTTTAACTTACCTCTTATAAACAGTGCTGTGCACATTTCTGACTATTGTCTGAATATGTGACTCTTTCGTACAACTGCAATTTCTTTTCTCTGCTATTTTTTCTGATGGCAAAATTTTCAAATGCATTGTTCCTTGACTGATTAGGAACCAACGGAATAAATAAATAATTAAGCAGGTTATACTACAAGGAAATCTGTTCCTTTTGTTATTCAGGGAGAGAATTCAGAGAAAAATGTTCACCTAAATAAAAATGCACCAAATACAAAGAGAAGATGAACAGAATAAACATTAAGCAGACTCACAAAAACTCCCGATAAACTCAGTGCTGCCAGAGTCACTAATCTGCGGAATAAAAATCTTGCAACCGAGTATCTCAGAATGTTAGAACATTGTTACCAATACCTGCGTTATGCGTTGGTGACCAGAATTTCGAAAGCACCTAAATCCATAGTGTGTAAGGTTAGTCTTTCCATGCTGCTTTAATTCATTACTAATTTAGACGGCTGGTACACAAGTTGTGGATATTATTGCACGATTCATTTGGCAAAAGGAAATTTCAGCTGAACAATTCTAAGGCTTCAAGAAAATTTTCTTTTCGACGAAGTCATCATCTAGGCTGTACATTCGTGTATTTATATCAAATGGATGGGAAAGTTCCAGAATAATTTCTGGTTAATTTGCTTCGCTGCAACTGTCTTTTTATTCCCTATGCTTCAAGAAAACTAAGTATCTGTACAGAATAATATCAGATTAGATACAGAACCGTAATTCGCTAAAATAGTTTATTGAGTGTTATGATTATGAGCGATAATTTATGCTCGAAACATCATCCAGTAATTAATACTACCTTACTCTGTCATATCTCAAATAGAATTATAACGTCGAACTACCTAGTCGCTAGAGTTTGATAAGTAAAGAGTTATTGAAAGGACGTAAGTCATCAGAATGTTGACAATTATCTGAAACAGAATCTTTGTGGTAATGCTTAAGAATAAACACGAGTATTCACATTCGTGTACTACTTATCAACAAATTTTTAAGGGGATCTTCTGCTGGCAATATTCATTCCCTCATAATTACATTTGCATCCTGTAACATTATGTCGTGCCTGCGTCAGTGGTGCAGCGGTAGAATGCTCATTAAACCACACATGTGGTTCAGTTTGACGTACTCCTAAACCTCACTAAGCCACTAATAAGACTGGTAAAGAGGGAAGGCTGGGCGTGAGTCTAGGAACACCACCTTGTGAAACTTCAAAGCCCTAGCCTGAAGGCCTACTCACCAATCAGAAAATAAAAGGATCAAATTAAAAAAATTAACATCATCTCATTGATATTCCATTGATATTTGTGTTTGGTCACCATAATAAATTACGGTTGCAAGAATGTAAAGGGTGGTTATATGCAAGTTTTTCTTTTAGAAACTGTTCAGAATTAATTGGTTAGCTTGTATTTTAATCTCCATGAGAAGTTATTTACCACTATATATATTATGCATTATCTCACCCATATAAATGGCATCATATTATTCACCAGCTTTTTAATGAAAACATTCTAATTCAGGAATCTTCGTCAGTACGCGCCCACCGGGGTTCGAACCTAAGACCTTTCGGCTACAAGGTCACCTCGTATGCCATTCACCCACTGGGACAAAATTCAATGGCCAGCCCATACATGAATTCTAACTTCTACCAATTCTTGATTTAGCGTGACCCCCACCAATATCGTTGGTGGGACATCCATCCTCACACTTGGCTGGATGCACCTCACTGGTCACGACTCCAGGAAACTCCATCCTGTAGCAAGTCACTAGCACGGATTAGTTTTGCTTTTAAGAGTTGATCACGCATTGATATCAGTTAGAGAACCATTGAAAACAATCCAGGGGGTACTGGACATCTGTTTCCTCCTAGTTTGGAAATCATCGGCAGTACGCAGCCACTAGGGTTCGAACCCAGGAGCTTCTGATTCATCCAGTCAAGTGTGAGGATGGATGTCCCACCGGCGACATTGGTTGGGGTTGCACTAAATCACGAATTGGTAGAAGTTAGAATTCATGGGCTAGCCACTGAATCGGGTCTCAATGGTTGAGTGGTATACGAGCCGGTAGGTTCTGGGTTTGAACGTCAATGTATGCGTACTGCCTATGATTCCCAAACTAGTCTGACGAAACAGCTGTCCAATACTCCACTGCTAGTTTTCAATGGTTCTCTAACTGATATCCGTGATCAACTCCTTAAAACAAAACTAATCCTTACAGACCAACTATAGAAAAGAAAACATTCTAACCCTATTATTTGTGTAAGTTTTTATTGATTCGTCCTGATTACTATTCCTTCTCTTTGGTGTACTCATATTAAGCCTTTTTAATTCAAACTGTCATACGCCTATATCAGGCTCAATGTCGATAATGTCTGTCTGTTCTTTTCGGGTAATTCAATAAAATATGACTAAATACAATGGACTGCTATCCTCGTATGAGCAGTGCATTTTAGAATATAATTTTACACAAAGTGTTTTTGATAAGAGAATAAAACACTAATCGACTAAGTCTGTTGTAATCTTCTCATGCCACTGAAAATATAACTCACTCATGAACAAAGTTAATATCACATGCAATATAGGTGTGGTTACATGACTTAATCAAATAATTGTTTACTCACTTCTACTTTGTTTCAATTAAACTGTTCAACTGATTAACTAATTAGTTAATTTGTTTACAAGACGGCATTGGAAAATGAACACCAATTAGGACTGATATTCCATAAATAATTACGTTGTTATTGGTTACATGTATTCAACAAAATTAAAAAATATTCATTCAGTT